AATTCAACCTCTCTTCTCCAATTCTCAATCTTTAAATACTAATCCTTTTCTCTTATCCAGATGCGGCGCGAGTTTTGCGGTTGAGATTGTTTCAGAACAGTTCGAGGGGAAGAGATTGCTCGAGAGGCACCGCATTGTGAACGCTGCGCTTGAAGACGAGATGAAAGAAATACATGCTCTCTCTATAAAGAAAGCTCAGACTCCACAACAATGGAAGCCAATTTCAGAAGACTCTGCAATAACAACTCCAACCACAGATGCTTGAAGACAAAAGAACAACAAAGCATAACAACTTTTGTTTTATAATCTTTCTGCATCTTTGCTAAACTTATAAAGCTTCCTACTTTGACCTTGCTCCAAGGTATATAAAAAAGCTTATAAGCATATATAGCGAAATAAGTTATGAATTCGAGTACAAAACTGGTTGTTTATCGTCTACATCACCGGAATTCAACATCTTAACAAAACTCTCTTATAAAGAACAAAAACTAAGATCTTTACTTTTCAGTCTTCACCTTCTTCTTGGACTTTCCCGATCGATCTGAAGAGCCTGAAACTGTAGTTGTTGAGCTACGATGTTTGCCTGAGGAGGCTTCTGAATGCTTTCCTTTTGAAGACATGGGGGTCTCGGTGAAGCCAGTGACCGTGCTCTTCTGTCTGCTGCTACGTGTGGCTGCTGAATGTCGAAGTGTTGACTTTGACTGTCCGCTTTTATGCCTGCTACTTAGAGCTGGGTGAGAGTATTTGCCAACGGAGTCCGTCACTGCTCCTACAAGCTTCTGTTGGGTTTTAGCCTTCATTGTCTCAAGCAGCTCTTTTGGTTCAGGGTAACGAACTAATGAAACTCGCCGGGAAATCTTCCCAACTGCCCATAACACAAAGGCATAAGAAACATTGAAGAAACGGGCAAAGGCTACGATTAAGACCTAAGCAATGGGAATACATACCAATTTCCGATTTTTCTCCAGAAGGTATAATCACAGTTGCATCAGCCTCTTGAGACGCAAAGCTAACAAAGTCAACCTCTTTACCTATCAAATCCAAACGATGGTAACTTATTTACGCGTAATAACAGAAACCAAAGACAACATAATAAGCAAAGCAAACTTTGGAGATCAAAACTAAAAACATTTTGAGTATGAAAAAGAACACAAACCAAAATTGAACTAAAAAAACACAAAACTTACCAGATGAATCCTCGAAACATCCCAAGGTTCCATCTTCATCTAGCTCAACCGGAACTTCTTTCCCATCAATATCAGGAAACTTAAAAGATAAAAGAGGAAATCAATTTAGTTGCAGAACATTACCCAAAGATCAATTGCTTTTACCAGACTTTAATCAATCAAAGCTAAGTAAAGAGGAATTCATCTTCCACACATACATGGCTTATAGGGCATTGAATAAGCCAAAGCTCTTCCGATTCCGTTACATCATTGTCATCTAGTGGGTTTAAGTTCTTCACTACGAACTCATCTGAAGGTTTGTATTGCAATTCCATCTCTGCTCTGCTCAAATCACCTCTCACGATTACACAAACCTATACAATAAAAATCCAAAAAAACAAGCTTGAATATAGCATCTTCAAGGAGTGATTCAACATATAGTAAACACAAATTTGAAGAACAGAGAACTCAATCATACTTCCTACACGATCAAAATCGTAATTACAAACTCCACAAAACATCGAGAGAAGCAGAAATTAGTACGAAAAGAAATGAAATTGAAGGTAGAATCAAACCGAGAAAGCGATAACAAAAGACGGGTTTACCTGAGAAAGAAGTTTTGCTCCGTCGACGGCGAAAACGAGAGAGAGTAATGTCACCGGCGATAATCGAAGAGACGATGACCTAAAACCCTTCCCAATTTATCCCAAATATTATTTCTTTTTATGTGTATGTAGTTTACTCAAAACGACGTGGTTTTAAGAAATTTGATTCGTGCGCTAAACCGGACAATTCAATCGACCGGAGAAGATTGGGCCATAAATGGGCCTTATGATTGAAGAAACCCAATTCAGAAACCAACCTTAACGTAAGAAAATGATTCAGAAGAGAAAACTCATAAACCCTAAATCCCCAAACATGGAATCATAGAAATCATTTCCAGAAGATCTGAAAATCTGCTTTGTTCTCGCAACGAAGAAATGATTCGAAGAAAAATCTCTTCGATCATATCGACGTCTCTCATCAATTCATCGATTCATCATCATTCCGCCGCAAAACCCAGATTCATTTCTTCCTCACTTGTTCGTCAATCTCCGATTCTTACTCAAATTCCTAGTTTAGCGAGCAGAGCTTCGTCGTTTCAGGGAATTAGGGCTTACAGTTTGTTGAGCTTGAACGATCTGAGAGATAATGTACCGAGAAAACTCAAGACGAGGAAAGGTAGAGGTATTGGGTCTGGTAAAGGTAAAACTGCAGGAAGAGGTCACAAGGGACAAAAAGCGAGAGGAACGATGAAGTTTGGTTTCGAAGGTGGGCAAACTCCATTACGACGACGTTTACCCAAACGTGGTTTCAAGAACAAATTGAAGCTCCATTTCCAGGTAATAAAGCTCGTGCCTTTTCAGTTCTGGGTCACGGAATCCTTAGTTTCTTGGAATTGTCTGAAGGTTGTAGCTTTCCATATGGATTCAAAGATTGCAGGAGTGTGGTGGATTCATTAGTTTAAGTCGAATATGAGAATTTAATTCAGATGGGTCACTCTTTGTTCTGAATGCTGTGTTTTAGCTGCTTGTGGTGTGATTTGTTGACTATAGAAGCAGTGCTTGGAAGTAGATGATACTGTTTCTTTGGAATTCGATTTTGAGATTGTATTGAAGCAGTAACTAAAGATGCATATGATTGTTGTGTGATGCAGCCGGTTGGTCTAGGGAAGATCGCTAAACTCATAAATGCTGGGGAGATAGATTCTCATGAACTGATCACGATGAAAACGCTCAAGGTTTGGTTTCATTTCTCGCTCTTTGATTCAACGGTTCAAATTAAGTAGGTGATTTTTCATGTTTCTGCTTTCTTTACTAATCTGTTAACGACTGTTTGCAGGATGTGGGAGCCATAGGAAAACAAATAGAAGACGGAGTTAGACTAATGGGTCGTGGTGCTGATGAGATCAAATGGCCGCTTCATTTCGAGGTTACCATTTGCTCTTTTTAGTCTGTACATTTTCCCTGTAGTGCCAAGTCATTGCATCAGTCCATGTATTCGCTAGTTAGATATCGGTTTAATCGAGAATGACAATGTTTATTATAGGTTTCGAGAGTGACGGTTAGGGCTAAAGAGGTGGTGGAAGCAGCTGGAGGATCGGTGAGAAGAGTGTATTACAACAAATTGGGCTTAAAGGCATTGCTTAAACCGGAATGGTTTGAGAAGAAAGGAAGGTTATTGCCTAAAGCAGCGAGACCACCTCCTAAACAACAAGATAGGGTCGATAGCATCGGACGTCTTCCCGCTCCGAAGAAACCCATTTTGTTTTTTGCAGCCGAGGAGAACAAAGTTGAGTCTCCTGCTGAATCCTGATTCTTGGTTGGCTTTTAACGTTTGATGTTTCCGTTTAAGTTGTTTGTGTTGTTTCTTGGTCAAGAAAATTGAGAATGTCAGATATTTGTTTGACAAATAAAGGTCTTTCTCGTTTTGTATTTGGTCACAACAAGTTCTTAAGCATTTCATACTTTTTGTTAGGAATCAAAGACTGAATGACAATAAAAAAAATTACAAATTTACAAAATTTTAGTTGTTGATAGCAGACAATGTTCAAAAAAGCGCTAGGCGTTAATCGGGCAGTAACCCAATGCCTAGTGCTTAGTACGCCTAATTAGAGTTTAGGTGATTTAATAGGCGGTCTAAACGTTTTACAAAAATACATTATATATTAGATATATATAATAAAATCTATAAAAACCATAATTTATAACTAATAAAATTTATATTGTATTTATATTCATCATTTTATAGCCAAATATATAAAATTTTACGATTTATATATAAAATTTTTTATATTATTTTATTGTTATAATACCATAATATTTTAGGCGGCAAAAACGGTAATCGCCACGGTCTATAGGGGCCTAACGCCTAGAACACTGATAGCAGAACATAAATTGTAAACGATAATGTCCAATTATTAATCCAAATCTCTTCGTATTTTTCTTGTGAAAAAGTAATGGGTTAATCAGCTCAATATTATGTTTTGAGCAAAGAATTACGAAAATAACATGTCCATAAAAAAATTTAGGTGAGTAGAATAGAGAAAAAATAGTTTGACAAATTTGCCTCTATTAAATTTAGTAATTATTGTTGATAATAAAAATCCAGAAAAATATATGGAAAGTAGGGGTTGTGAAAAATATGAAAAGTAGAGATTGTGGTGGATCTCGAAAAGGAAAGAGAAGTACGTATAGTTCTATATTTGAATGTTGTAGTTAGCTATAATTTGTTTCAGATGGCAAAATAAACTATGGTTGTTGTGATGTTGGGTGAATGAGTTGTTTTGGAGACTAGTGTTTGAGATTTCAAACCTAAGCAGGACGAGTTGTGTAA